CTGTGGTTTCAGGACACCATACCAAAATATGCATCAGTCCTGTCAACTTATAAGATCTTCATTGTGCCTTTGGCTGTGTTGTACTTTATCACTGTTCCATCACAGCAGGTCCCACAACGTACACAAAGCTGATTGAATTACTGAACAAAACTTTCATTGCTATACAGCAGCCTTTTTCTGCCTTTAGGGTGTACATAAAGACTGTTGTTGTATTACCCAAAGGAAAAGCAGCACATTTCAAACCTATACTTTACAACAGTCCCTTTTCTCACTCTCACTCTAGTAAAAATGCAATTATCTGCTCTCTATTTGTCAGTGAAGCAGAAGCAAATATTTTGTTTCACATGATGATTTTCTTGTTGGTGTCTAATGGTCCGCTGCAGAATTTAAGTACACCTCATGTTTCAACTGTTACATGTTACAATTGTTTTCATTGTTATCGCATCCTAGCCAAATTTCCCATTGGCCCTTACCATTCATGGCCTCCTAATAATCCCCATCTATGAATTAGCTTCATTACTCTGCTCTCCTCCCCAGTGATAGCTGATGTGTGGTGAGCGTTCTGGCGCACTATGGCTGCCGTCGCATCATCCAGGTGGGACTGCACATTGGTGGTGGTGGAGGGGTATCCCCATTATCTGTAAAGCGCTTTGAGTGTCCAGAAAAGCACTATATAAGTGTAAGCAATTATTATTATGTAAATAACAGTGACAGCCCATAAAATGTAATAATGGCAAATCACCTGACTAATACAATGAAAATCAATTTGTTTTCAGAACGGTTATGATTCCAAAGGAACAGACAAGTATAAACAATGGTACATTTAAAATACAACTCCGACACCTCTAAAGTTCTAATACAAATACTCTTTTAGACTGGCACGTCCCAACAAACCCAGATAATCAAGATGCCAACACAAAAAAAACACCTATTATGGAATAGATTTACAGGAATGACTAATTTCTTGGAATGAGAAGTTGATTCATTCAATATGTATGTTTTGTCATGGTGCATAAACTATGTGGAATCTTACTGTATATTGTATATGGAGATAGGAAGGTGAATCAATCAAAGAAACTGGAGAATAAGAATCCACATGCAGGTGATAAGTGAAGCCTTACTCAGCCAACATGCTGAGTGAACAGTGTGCAGTCAGGAAGTCTTAAGTTTGATTTGAGAAGGAAACTATTACAGCCCCTGTCCCAAAAACAGAAGTTGCAATACAGTTTTCAGATCTACATCCACCAGGCATAAATATCAGTCTTCTTTTTATGAGTCATATGGATAGGATAACAGCCGTTAGATGTTTTTGGTTTCTTTGCAGCATTTTAAAAAGCAATACTAGAAAATGCAGTCTAAAGTCCTCATTACAGACAGGCGCTAAAGGACTTCAAAAACCTTGCATAGATTGCAAAATAGAACTAGTAATAGTATTATTACATTACAAAATGTCACTGTCACACATGTTCTTGAAGGGAAACACTCCAAAAGTATTATTTTCCAAAGCTGGAGGGAAAAAAAGTTTTCTTACAAAGAGAAAAATAAAGAATGAACCTTCAAACTTGTGTGTGATAATGAGGCTAGTGTGACAGAATCCACAAATAAATAATCCTTCTAACAACTAATCGTCCCAAAAATCCATTTTTGTTTCAAGAGTACCAAGCTAAGTGATACTCTGTGACCCAGAGGCTATGAAATGGAATAGGAGAAATGGAATAGGAGAAGATTTATTATTTTAGCATAACATTTATCATAATGTTACGAATAGCTTGGCAAAAAAAATCAAAATTCCCCATTCTGTGATGATTTCTTACTTACATATTTTTGGGAATTTACACACGTTTGGAGGTTCATATACATATTAAAGGGAGAAATTTATTTTTAAGTAAATAAAATTACTGTATAGGCTCACTAATTAAATCTTGTAGGTATGCTTGGCAAATTCTTCAGAGAATAAAGTAAATGTTCAATATTCTTGACTTTCAGGAGCCGACCGCATATGTTGAGAATGCATGAGTTACAAGTCGACTGCATTGATAACTAATAAAATATGGAAAGATACAATGAAAAGAATCTGTAAACTTCTCCAATTCAGCCAAACATAACTACTGATGTCTTTCTATATTGGTATTCAAGTTTTAGTTTTAACAAACATTAATTATGTCTCTTATCATTATGGCCTGTGTGAGCCAAAATGATTTCAGATTCAAATATGTTTGTGTGAGATCAATTAGTAACTACAATTACAAAAACAGTTACACACACAGTATTTTTGTTTATATACAATTTGTGACTTCTACCAAGTTAATAAAGTAACAGACATTTTGTACAACAGACTAATTAATAATATACAGATGTTGAAAATTCCATAATCTGGGAAATCCTTTGTAAAAAAAGACTATTTCTACTGTATATCTTTCTATGTAAAAAAAAAAAACAAATAAAAAGGAGAGCTAAAGATAATCACAAATGATCTGTCAAACTTTAGTTAAAAGTACAAAGGATAAAAATACAGACAAATCATGTGAGAATTCCTAAAAAAATATTCACTAATATTCACTTAAGATAAAATTCAACAGGAGATAATAAGAACTGAGGTCTTCTCATATACATTCTAAATAGAACAAAGTGCTACAAGCCTGAGGCCATCACAGCAGTTTTGTGAGTTGTGGTTTAGTCTGGATTAGATGGTTGTGATTATCAGTATACTGTCTCTTCAGTATACAATCGCACACAGCGACTACAAGAAGAAAAACAAATCGGTGGGGGTGATGTCTCTACAATTACTCATAATAAACGTGACTAGGAAATATACTTTCAATCTCCAAATTGCATTCAAAAGAATGTTTCCGTATTAAACTTGCATCATTCACAAATTTGGAAAATTTAAAATGTTTAGAAAAAGTGAAACAAAGTATGGTTGAAATCCTAAGGTATTTATCAGTTATATATTTTCCAAGACAGACCAATGAGCTGAAATAATTGTGTATGTCTGAATATCTTGAGCTCTTTGTCTCTCAGTTCCTTCCTTAGAAGAACATAGGCTACATCCCCAAAACTTAACCACAGGGCTCGTCTCTGTAACAGGCTGACATTTGAGAGGGCCAAGCTAGATAAAATTCCTTGTCGTGATTAATACTTGTTGTTCCACAAGTCACCTGACCTCCTCTGTTATAGGAAATATGTCATGTGGAAAGCCGATACTGTACTAATGTATAACTGCCATTTCTACTCAAGTAAATAAATGCATGAAACCTGACTCATGTAAACTATCAATAAACCATTCCTCTTTTACCTGTTTCAGCCTTTTCTTCCACATTATTATGAACAAGTTTATGACTTTTGTTTTCCATGCATCTATAATGTATAATAAGTGCCATGCAGTTATAAAAATATGTTAAGATGGAAACATTTTCAAAGCTATACCTTGTTTAGATTTATATAGTACAGAGATGTGTCGTGTTTTCACAGTTTTTAAAGTCTCCCTCATTGTAGATATCAGTCACAAGTCATAGTTATTTTAAGCTGTAAAGATTGTTTTACTTACACAACCATGTAATGAATTAGTTCTACGTGTGGTTTGAGGTAAATGTTCTTATTTACAGGAAGACATTTTTCTAAACCACCTATGCTTTCTGATTCAGTTAAAGTTTTTTATTTGGTATTATGCAACCTTAATGGTACTATAAACAGAATGAAAGCAGGAAGGTTTACAATATTTTATTAATATGTTTTCTACAGCTCAAAAGAATCCACAGTTGCAAAATAATTATCTACACTTAATGCGTTTAAATTAGTTAATTCACTTTATCACCTGGTAGAATACATGATTTTCAGTAAATGTTGAAGGAAATGCAACATTTGAAATGAAAGAGTAATTCAAAAAAATTTAATTACTTAATTGATGGATATAGTTTTGTCTCTACTAATTATATGTATTTAATGGTTAGATACTGTGAATTAAATACCAGCTAAATAAGAAGCCTGTTATGAACAAAACTGCCAGTAAAGATCAAATCATTTTTACCCACAAGTGGGAGCAACATCCACTGATTTACTGACTTTTACAACCAGACAAGAGAACAACATAAATGTTTTTTCCCCTCTCTGAACATTCCACAAAAACATCCCATAAATCCAGTTCCCGTACTATCTTCTTGTCTGCAACAGGCAGTAGTTAAAATGCAAACCTTTGTACATGTTCTATCAAAGAAAGTGCTAAAAACATGGCTTTTCAGCAGGAAGTTATAAATTTCCCCTGCAAATCAAATACATTCACCAGATACAACAGTGCAAAGGTCACACAAAAGATTCCAAGGATAAAGAGAGCAAAAGAATTTGCCTGCAGTAGCCTAAAATGATTTAGTATCCCTGTTTCTGTATAGTTTTATTTATGAAGTATTATAAAAAATATAATATTTCAATATTATTTTATGTCGCTAGACAGCAACCCATGATAGGGACTTTTGACAACCACAAATAATACCAAGAAAAAAGTTACAAAAGAAGATAAACTATTTATATTAGAATTAATAGCACTTCTATACATTACACAATATTTTATATTGTATTTCTGAGATAATGAGTATTGCCTGTTTGTTTTCACTTTTACAGAAAGATGATTCCTTGCAAGCATTCCTTTTATATTAAGACCGCACAACATAGCCAGATCAGTACAAATGATGTCTGAAGACCGCTCTAATAAGCCATTTGGTATGTTATACTGAAAACAAGGTCTGTTTCAAATGCACAACATTAGACTTTTCAGAGACAAAAATAAACCATACCCATCTGGAACAAATATGTTTCTATGCATATATGAGTGGTATTAGCTTCACAGTAAATGTTATATCATAGTGATGTGGGCCTTGTGGACTACAGTAACTAATGGAGGCAGAGTAGCCTAGTGGTCAGAGCTGTGAACTGGAGGCCAGAGAATCCTGGACTCCAGACCCAGGTAAGGCACTGACTTTGCTATGACCTTGGCTACGTCACTTTACCTCCTTATGTTTCAGTTCCAGCCATGCTGTATATATGGGTACATGCAGGACCCCACTGGAATCAAGGAGATGCAGGCTATCCTGGGTAGATAATTGGAAAAAGTTTAATTAGATCCTCTTTAATCCTATAGTCCAACTTCAATAATTCATAGAAAACAAAACTGAGGAATCCTGCAGATCAGTCCTTCGGCAAGACAGTAGGTTACCCTCCCAACTTCCATGGAGGTAGGGCGTTGAAGGCTTGAAGTGTAAATGGGAAGTAAAGGTCATACATTTGTATTTGACCAATTCTACTTGCATCTTTTACAGGCTTTAACTAAGATTAAACATTCATCTCTTCTTATGCTTAGAAAATATTATAGAATAACTTTACCTTGGCAGAAATAAACAAAGGTATAAGCTCATATGAAAAGGGAAAAAAACATTTGAGTAATTTCTAATTAAAATCCACAATGGTAGGAGTCCTACACTGAATGAAACCTGAAGGTATAACTATTCGGTATGGACAGTAAAGTATGGTCTCCATTTACAAAATGCCACACAAAATGAATTACAGCAAAGACTTCTCTACATCTCTTTCTATGATGGAGAGCTTTGAAATAACTTAGTAGAAATACACTTATTCCTGATGATTACTGTATAAAAAATAGTATTTCTTAAGCCCTAAAGATTCCTCACCTTGCTCTTGTAGTTGCCACAACAATAAACATTTTATTTAGTGGATTATGTTGGGTTAAATATGCGTTTACAAAATGGATCTTTTTAATAAGACAATATTGTCTCCTTAAAATTTTTTAAGACTCTCTCTGTTCCAGCTATTGCCCCCTGTCCTTAATACATTCGATCAAACTGTGTGATAGGTATTTATGCATAAATGTATTATGTGAATTAAGTAATTCAACATGATTAAACAGAATCTGTCAAGGCCCCATTGGTGATGAAACATATTAAGTGCCTCCTTCTTATTATTAAGACTGCCACTTATCACAAACTGTACCAACTATCTGGTTCTAAAATTACATTTGCCCTTCAAGCATGGGACTATGTTGGGTTAGGGACAAATCTAAATTTTCACTGCATTCCAATGCTTTAATTATGGTTCTTTTAGGTGCCATTTCGTTCCCTTCAGTTCTCTAGGTCTAAAGGTATGTGCCAAGATTGCACTTCACTCTGCAATTATTTGCCATCTCATTAGAATCAGTATGCCAGTCGACAGTTATAAATATTGCAGTAGTTCAGGTGGGTAGCTGCATCAGCATGCGTAGGCTGCAAAGGAACAAGTAATAGGCTTATTCCATGCTGAAAAAAATCTAGAATCACACCTTCCCCCTTCTCATAATGACAGACTACTTTTCTTCTAAATTTTCTCCATTCATTGGAGGTTTCATTTCACACCTCTCTACACCTATTCACACCTCTTGATTGGCCTCTCTTTCTGTCCCCTGCTCCCGCCTCTCGCTCCTCCTCTCTCCGAGCCTTTGTTCTCCCGCTACATTACCTTTGCCAACTGCCTTGTCTTTCTCACACATGAAGAAGGCTCCACGGCTGAAACGTTGTGTTGTCTTTCTTCTTTTTTTCAGCATGGAATAAACCTATTACTTGCTACTTTGCATCATAAATATTGAGATCACAGCATTATCTTCCACCTTATGCTGATGATAGCCATTTGTTTTTAGAAAAGGTGCCTCAATCACTTTTTTCTTTCCTTGATATCTTTACAGTTTAAGTGTGCTACAGGGAAATAAAACTTACTTTGCTCCCCCTGAATATTACATTGTAACATATAGCTCTACCTCTACATTCCGACGGTCAGGTTATTTTAAATACCTTGGACTGAAATTTATCCTCGTTTAAAATCAACTGTATAAACCAACTTTAATGATACTTTGTAGAAAAATTGAGATGGATCTCACCCGACCCTGATCATTAGCCAATTAATTTAAAGGATGTCATTAACAGATTTTCACAGATGTTTTTTAATGCATATTGCTGACTCCCAACAGGAAGCTGTGTGCCCCCAACACAGCAACAGACCCATTTTGTATATGATAAGGATATTTCTACCATGATATGATATTTCTACTGTAGCAGAAATGAAGGTGGCTGGCTTCCATTACCATTCCCAAAAATTGCTTTGTATCAATGGGCCTTTGCCTTTCTTGACTCTGTTTTTTCTGTAACTATCTACTGCTTGTGTCCACAGAGCTGATAAAGGAATTGTGTGACCCTGAGAAATGGCAGCTGATGCTAGGAAACTTCACCATCCTCCTGCATTCACCGATTTAGATTCCCAGGCTTTCTTTGTAGGACAATTCGGGGGCAGTGCACTGATACGTGGAGGAGGGGGAGGGGGGATTTGAGGGCCAGTGGAATTGTTTTCTGCATTTTGTTACAGTTGCATAAAGTTGTGCTGCAGTGTATGCTGGGGATGCATTTCTTGAAGAGTACACTGTACAGTAAATCCAAACACAACAAATCAATATTGCACAAAACAATTAATGCAAAGGTGTGGGAGGGTAGGCTCTGATAAATACAATCTACATGACTGCACAAGAAGCATTTTGACACATTTATTCTTCTCCTTAATGCAGTAATAGTAGATAAAATGTAAGTTATTCATTAATTAAAGTTTCTGCTGTTACTTCATACAAAATCTTTAAAGCACTATTAAAGGCATTACACTATAAATAACAATTTGTGAATATAGTCTGGTAATATACATAAGTAAAACTGTGTTTACAATGAAATGTAGCATAATCCGATGAGTTGATGTCATCTGTTGCAAATGACTGGCTGGAGAAATGTGGGAAAAGAAAACCAAATCTTGGTATGCTGTAAGTATAATGGCAAAGTATTTGTAAAAAAAAATTGAAAATCAATGTGTAGTGGGAAATTGCTGTATAAACATTTGGGAATTCTTCATTTTGTTAATATCCCTTTAAAGTAGCAAAATGTGTAAAGTTCCTGAAAATTAGTAGAGGTTGATGCATTGGGCTTTGTCAGAATTTGCTGGTGTCCTCTAATAAATGTCTTTAATGTGACAAGTGTATTGTTAACCCTTCCTGCAAGGCTGTGAAAAATCTGCTTTACAACTTACAAAAGAAAAACAATTGCATTTCCGTAAATTAATCACACAAGACACTGAAAGAGTATTTGACTTCCATAATTTAAACCCATTGACATGTACAGGAAAAGAAAATACTGGGATTTCAGGAACTTGCCTAAAGGCAAAGAAAACACCGCAGGATATCAAAAGTAGGACTAAAGTCTCTTCTTGTGTTCTGCACAGGACTATGAGTCATGTTTAAGGCTCACAGGTAAAGATCACAGTAGGTGAGGCTGTTTAAAATAATGAGCCATGCTCCACTGTGGTATTTCCAAGCTGTTTCACATTCAAGCATGGGTGGTCTATTTTATATATATACACGCAAATATTTTGCAAATTGTTCCTGTTGCCTTTTGATAGAATGGCTACAGGATATATTAATCATGGTTTTATTTTTGCCTATTATTTTTAATTTTACATTAACAACTTTTAAAAATTATTTTGTATAAATTTATTTTAAATGCTTAAAAGAACATTTTTAAAGAATAAATAAGTTACGACACTCTTTGCTTAAAATTTTTAGCTACTCTACATAAGAGAAAAAATGGGAATTCTTATATTGTGACTACTCTTCTGGTCTACCATTAAAAATGCACATGTAAGCCAAACCAGACCCTAGCGAGGTTTTATATGTTCAAAATTGTTACTACAAAGCTAATGTACTTAATCATTTCAGAAAAACATACACCTATAAGGTTCCAGGCAACAATTAGTATCTAACGGGGGCAATAGCTCAGATGTGAAGTAAGGAAAAAGTTGATTTCTCATAAATTCCCACCAGGAGTTTCTACTTCTAGACGTTTAGTTTTGAAAAAACACCTTCAAGTACACTGAAAAGGTTTGTCTTCTAATCAAAATGAAGGGACTGACAGTAACTAAGAATTTATAAGACATAAAAGGGGCACATGGTTAACATTTCAGCATGTAACAAGAGCTATACTTTCCATGCCTGTCCCTTTCAAAATGTAACATTCGCACAGCCTAAACAGAGGACAATTTCAGTCTTCTAACGAATGGTTATAGATCAAAAAGACATGGCAATTAGAGGATTTGTGTGCTAATCCTTCCTGTAAACATCAACACTGATTACATAGCAGGCCCATGCTCACGCTTTCACAGTAAACAGTTCTTCAGCAGACAGGGCAATGATGCAGCTTTCCCTGCCAGACAGCTACTTTCTGACATCACCCTCAGTTAGGTTCCAAGTAATGACAGGCTTCAGCACAAATGCATACATTCTTCAGTATAAATAAATATAAATAACAATAAATAAGTGACTACTGATAAATCGTTTTTAGTTTTATACCAAAGTGCAACGACAGAAATAAGTCTCGCAAGTATGAAGAAAGCAGACTTAACTGAAAGCAAAATACACACCAATAAAAACAAAACTATGATTACGTCCAGTATCCATGGAAACCAGCTTTTTTGTAATGTGTAATAGTTTGTAATTGAACGCCCAAAGTCTTTAATAAACGCCTGTCTTGAAAGTGGCAAACAATGATTACAGAAGAGAAACAGAAAAACAAATTCAAAGCTACAGTAAATCCGACGTAGGCAACGTCCCTGCAGCTCGAAAGGGGAGAGAATGTTTAAAAAAGACATAGGATGATAACATCAAATATAAAAATGTTAAATATAGAAGTATACATAGTAAAATAATTCAAGAGAAAGATACAGCATACACAGGAATTTAAGGTTTATGAAACTTTTTTTTGATAAAACTCCATACATTTATTGTGAGCAAAATATTTGAATTTGCCCATAGATAGAAATTAAACCTTTTACTAGAAACCATAAAAGGAAATAGTTTAACTATGCTCTAACCTATAATACAATGTTTGAATAAATAACAAAAAATTTACATTTAACAAGGATAAAGGATTCAAATCAAATAGATGCCATCACCCAGGATGAACTCATTTCTGACTTACGAAAAAAGAAAACTGAGTTAAACATTAAAAATAATGTACTTTATCATAACAACATAAGAAAAATGTAGACATTGTCAGATATTCTACCTTTTAAATTGAAAGAAAAAATGGTATTACCAAATGTAATGTCAAATGTCATACTACTGCCAGTTCTTTAAAATGAATTTAATTCACCAGCAACACATAATCATAACACATGGGCCACTGTCTATTATCACATTTTGACCTCATAAATTACTTTAGTTCTTCAAAGGTCATTCTGCCACTTACTTCTTCTTTAGAAAGACTCTAATCTTAGTGGTTTTTTACAAACACCATCAAAGGCTTGGTCAGATTTAATAGATTTTTGGAGGGCCTTTAAGGAGAAGAAAGTTAAACAATCTTAAATTAAGTGAAAGAAACTGTCAAAATTCAAAAGCTGGTCTTGCTCAAGCTGAATATAGTCAATAATTAGGGTTAATTCTAATTCTATTTCTTGTGGTGGTCGTATTCCTAGAAAATACACATACATTATTAAATAACACCGTACAAAACTGTTGCCTATGACATTAAATACTATTTGAAGTAAAAGTTTCTCCTTTTCCTCTTTTTATTTACACTGTTATAACAAACAACATGAATTTTTACTTAGCCAGATGTCTAATCACAAAGCATCACTGTTACACAGTTGTTTACAATGAAGCCTTACTGAGTGCATTGAAGGGCCGGAAGTGAAACATTTAACATACAAAATAAACACATGAAAAAGAAAGGAATACATTAGAACTGGCACCACATCAGTTAATCTCATTGGGTCCAAATAACCTTTTTAAAAATATTATTTTTTCTTTTAGGAAAGGTTTGGAGGACCTAACATTTGATTCCTGTTGATCTATATTGACATGTATTGAAATCTGATTAATGGTGTTGCATAAAGCTATTTGACAGAGGGAATTTAATCAGAAAAAAATCACTAAATAAACGTTGTATTGACATTTAGCATATTATCTTACTCCACAGTTCATCACGTTACAAAAACAATTTTAGTCACATTTCCCTTTTGATGGAAAGAGTGAGTAGTCCACGTCCCAGAAAATACTGACAAGATCAGAAACCATAAACAATCAGAGGTGAAAATAAAGCAGTTATAAAATTGACAACTCACACACTGTACTACTGATAAAACAAATAAAACAGAAAGTTTTGCTACTGTACATCCAAAACAAACATTCTGATAACTGACCTTTTGCTGGCTAAGTTGTTCAGCTAAGTGTTTCTGAACAGGCCATTAAAAATATGAAACTGAAAAGATCTTATGTTCCAGATTCCTGGAAAAACACTGCGAATGTACAGGGAAAATAATTGACAAAGCAGAACTATTATTAGTTCAGGCTCATATTTCTGCTTACATTACTGTTGGACCAAAGATCTCATCTCACAAATTATGTAGCAACAACTTTCAGAAATTATTATAAAGTGCAACACTCAAACTTGTAATAGATGTGCTCACGTAGTTGTATTTGAATTGTGGCTCTTAGCAAAAGAAGGTAGAAGGAAAAAGGGTGTGCTGGCGATATAGAAGTTCATAAAGCTACACAGTCCAAACTAATACAGGCAATTTTGAGGTTTTAAGTCATGGAGTGTTGCATATGTTTTTAAACCACCTCATCTTCCATCATTTTACATTTCACAATACATTACAAGTGGATGATTGAGGAAGATAAAATATAAAAAAAACATGAGATGTGCAGTGCAAACAGAATTCACAACATATGGAGAAGCACCTCTAATCTTTTATCTTTCACTTTGAACTAGCAACCAGCTGTAAATAGTTATAGAGCTAGTTGGAAAAAATTCCAACCCCAGTCAAGATCAAATTTGTGTTTGATGGGCTCCATCATCCAGGTGAACGATGAATAAAATAATGTTTTGTGAAGTACTATACGTAGAATAACTGCTCTGAAGCTCATGCTGTGCTGCTACTTGCATGGCCTCAGTCATAACCTGAATATACAGAGACTCCTCAAATAATCAAAAGCAAACAGTAGCCATCTCTTACTTTGTTATAGTAATGCAGCTGGATGGAATGCCACTGGCCATCGCTGACGCCTCCTGGAACAAATGGTGCTACAGTGGTTTTGGCCTCTCCTGGAATTTACAACAGGGATAAATGTGAAAAGTGAGGTGGGCATAAAACTCCCATGTAGCATTTTTCAGATTTAACAACTGAACAATATAGGCAATACCAACAAGTTTAACATGGATGCTTTACAACATGGTCATGCTTTTCATTTGATTATACCTTGTCTTTTTGGAACAGCCTGTTGCAAAAATGTCAGAGCTTTACCTCACTGCTGTTAAATAAATGAGTCACAGATTTCCTCTATAGATTAAAAAGGTGCTTGGACTTTTGTTTTTCCTTTCAGTAACATTCACTTGGAAGAAGCTGGATGCAACTGACTGGTTTGCAGAAAGGTTAATCAGTGTTTAACAAGGGCTGAAGTTTCCTTGGCAGGAATTTACTTTCAGACAATGCAAACAGTAAGCCAACACATAAAATATAGCTATGTTTACTTTTTCCATCGAAGGTTTCAGTGTGAATGATTGTTTAATTCTGTGATTTTATTCATCTTACCCAATTTTATTTTCACTTCCATTCCTCATTACAGAACCCATCTAGCACAATGAATATGTACTGTAAACTGTTGATTGACACACTGATTTACAGTTTAGAATTTTCTCAACACTGTCATAAGTTGAGTAAGTTCCACTGTGTAATACAGAATCCTTTAAAGTATTTTTACTAGAATGTAAACATAGGATGGACTACAAAGTAAAGAGGCTTTCAATACAACAAAAGCAACCAGCATCTGAACTTCAGTACCTAAACTAAAACTTGTAATTTAAATGTTCAGACCATCATTGCTTATTTCTTTAATTCTAAGTCTAATGTGTACAACAACAGATTACCTCCTAGGTCAAGATCATAACTGATAAAATACATGAATGCTCCATCTTATATTCTAGTAGTCATTTTGAGAAAGGTCAAAATCCATTGTAATTGATAGCAATATTTTGTCCTCCGTTAACAAATACCAGAAATCTGTTTAAGGAGAGAATTCTCTGTGTTGAGAAATACATTCTCGCAATATAATACAAAGCCATATTATTGCTATACTATTTAGCATTTCTATCGATAACTGCAAAAAGCTTATAGAAACCAACTTTAAAACATCTCTTAGATACACCTCTTATATGCTTATTTTCACATCTTTCTGAGCACACTAGCACCACAGTTGTGAAATGTTTTTTTTTCAAAACAGGTTTATGATGTTCTACAGCAACAAAGATGAAAGGTATTCTTGCTATCCTAGTTGATATCCTGAGTTTCTAACGCGCAAGAATTCAAAACACAGATACAACATATCAGGTCTGCCTCACATGACTGTTTATTTGTGCTGTAACCTCAGGGTTAAAGGAAAACAGGATTTACAGACCAGTGGTGTTTTATTGTAGCAGGCAGCTGCTGTTCAATTAACTGAAACAGAGTGATGAATGATACCCTTAACACTTAGTAACTGAAAAATCATTGATGTCTAAATCTAGCCAATATGTTAACCAGAAAATATCAAAAGCCATGAGAAAGATGTTATTTCAATTGAAAGTAACAGAGTCCATTTGTAACAATCTCAGCATTGGAACAGGCAGTTGAAATAGTGAGGTTTAATAATACAGTATTTGAACCATTCTTTAAAATTAACTCCTTAGGTTACATAATCTGCCTTATAACCTCTGCTGTGATTTACATTATTGTGATTTACATTATTAATCAGCATTTTACTACTTAGGATGTAATATCCACGTCAAAGTGGTTTGCTCATAGTAACAACAAGGAAAACATGTTATGGCACTTAAATATTTATATAATATAAAAGAGAATTAAAATCATATATCTGAACACAATTTATATAAAACCCACTTAAAATTAAATTAACTGTATTCACAAAATATTTAGATTTTCCACAAATACCCATATTTTTCTCACTTTAACAACTACATATTAATTTAAAAATAATTGAAGAAAGTATGTAACATTTAGTTTTCCATCATTTTGAAATTAAAGAAGAAACTGATTTATGATCTTATGCAAATTACTGTCATCCCAAGAAAAAGTAGCTCATTCATTTTGACATATTTATATACACTACTACTTAAACATGTCATCTTTCTGTGCATGTTGCTGGAACAATGAAAAGGTATCAATCCATAGTCTGAACTAAAAAGTAGCCTGCTGCTTCACATATTGCTCGTTGATGAATATTCACATTATTCACTCTGTTAATGGAAAGTCTAGTGCTCTATTTTACAAGCGACACAACTGTCTGGCCATCTTACCTGCTGAGAACGTCAACTGGACCTGCTCATCAATGATTTCTAGCGCAATAAAGTCATGCTTTTCATTAAAACGGCCATTGTAAAGAAGCAAAGCATTCCTTTCCCTGGTAGCAAACCTGTAAAGAAAGCACAGCATTTGAATTTTATTGGACCACATAGCTGGAGTTCACTACCACAATCCTATTTATTCCCTATGACAACAGAACAAAACTCTAGGAGGGAGAATCAGCCAGGATGTCCAGAGCATAAAACTAGAAAATCTATGATTTAAAGAAGGTCCATATCGTTTCACAAACACAAAAGGAAAGTTTATACATAATTGAAGATTGGGATAATTATGTGCAAACTTCATTAAACCATGAGTTTTTGTTTTTTGCTAAATGTATTAATATAGAATTTCCTTGCATCATAACAAATAAAACAAAGTCCTTTGCAGTGCATACAAAGTGTATATTTACATGTGATAATCAATTACTGCTCAATCAACATTTAGAAAATGTTATTGCTTTAAACAGAAAAATATGTCCTAAAAGAATTACATTTTTTGATTTTCTATTCTATTTCAATTTTCTATAAATCTAGGACAGGTGGATTTGTAAATGCTCTTCTAGACACTAAAACTAAAAAAATCTTAATGGAAAGAAATTCGCTATTGTTCTACTAAACTTGGGTTATCGTTTACATAGCATGCTGCATCACAATGTTACGTGTAATTTATTCATAGGACACAGGGCTCTGTGTCAAGATTGCAAGTTCCATTGGATATTTTAGAAACAATAAATGTACAACAGTAACCACACGAGTACGGGTGTGATCTGTAACTGCAGGAAATGGGTTTTCCAAACCTGGCAACATCAACATTGTCTTACGGACTAGAGCAATAATGCGAGAACAGACAGACAGCAAATCTGATGTTGCCTTTTTGGCCGGATACAAAGGCCAGTAAAGTCAAATACAAAACTCAGTGAGTGATTAGACAGAACATCCTGGAGCATTTTTTAAATCCTGTTGCGAAAAAAACAGGAATGTGGTAATGTAGTTCAATTTATGTTATTAATCATAAAAAATTTAAAATAATCACAGTTCTCAGATGCTATGAAATATGTGCAAGGAAGCTATTTGTGCCATGTTATTTCCAGTTTTTCTAGAGGCAACACTTATATTAACACTTATTTTTATTAGGGTTTCAAGAACTATAAAACCACACATATACAGTATATGCATTGTGGGTATATATGTTTTGTAACACTTTAAAGCATACAATTATATATATATAGTTGTATTCAAATGTTTGGGCACCTCTGTCCAAATTACATGTTTTATTGGTTTTCTAAGTGAAAAGAAGTTAACACAACCTCTACAGAAACCAAACTTAAACTTGACATATTTCTGCAACTTTTAATACACAGATACTATTTATTTGCTGAATTTAACAGATTGAAAAAAATAAAACAGTAAATGTGGCATGTGCAAAAGTTTGGGCACTAGTGTTATTTTTTTGTAAGGTCTCAGAACTTCATTGACTCATTAGGCCTTAATCTAAGTCAGGTGATGACAATTCCAGAGCTTCATAAATTCTCTGAGTCTTTGACCCTCTCAGTGTGTTGTGGTCAACAACCATGGGCTCCTCTAAGCAGCTGACTGAGGATCAGAAAATAAACGTGATCTTTATCCAATACCTCCAATCCATTTTAGTACAAGCCACCAGGCCTGTACTGGAAGTTGTAGGTTTGAGCTCACATTTTTCAAGCAGGCTCTTGGTTTACAAGAATAAATGAACATAAACGAACCTGGCAAAAGGAGCGCTATCTCACAGGAGGTTATTCGAGCCTTTTTAAATCCTGATGCAAAAGAAGGAATGCAGAAGAACTAAAGGTTATGTAAATGGCCGAAATACTACCACAAGAGCAAGCCTAGTAATTCAAGGGACCCAACATACGTGAGAGAGACTGTGAAGTGGAACCTCTGCCGCAGGCCCTTGAAGGTGACGAAGGATTGAGGTGGGAAGCTCCTGGTGGTCATCTCGCAGTACGGCCTCTCGTACTCCCCCGGGGGACACTCGCATTTGAAGCCTCCCACCAGGAGATTGATGCAGGTCCCCCCATTTTTACAAACCCCAGGGGCACATCTTCCTGAGCGGGCATTGACCTCGCAGTGCTCTCCTGTGGATCAACAGCACGAGACACCAACCAAATTTAGACTAGTCTGCTGATGGTGGCTAAGATGTCCTTCTACAATCTTTGAAATATATACCCTGTAAAGTACAACACAGGTATAATACCCTTCCTACTTGAAAACACCCTAAAATATTACCCTGTATTTAATATTTAAAGTTAAATTACACTGAGGTTATGGACAACAAAATAATATATAACACCCCTGTAGTTTTTAATTAATTATTGTAAAAGCATATTTTAGTTAATCAATTTCCCTACAGGATTAATAAAGTATTATCTATCTATCTTTATCATGGCCAAAACCACGAGTTCAATGACAGACACAAGACGCAGTTAAAATCCCTGCTGCTTTCAAATGTGAATTTCTTCCTAACTCAATTTATGAAAATCTCTTTGTTATATTGTATGAAACAAACAGGAATTTTTTGGCAAATGGTCATTTTAGGAATGTTGTTTAATGTATGATAGTGTTAAGGCTTTTCCTATAAAGCACTTGCCACAAAGATGTGAAAAATGAAAACCTCAAGTGTTTAGTTTAACAAGAGGGCTCTACTGGGCATCGCATACAGCACGTGTCTGTGTTTAACCTGCTAGTTTCTTGTCAAGAATAATATTTGATTTGTTTGGCAATCTCATTTCTATTCAAAGGCTAGTTGCTGCATGTAAATTATTAAAACACTGAAAGATATTACACAAGGCAAAAGACAAAACAGCATGAGACGCCAATAGGAAAAGGCTGAATTATTAGTACATGAAGAAATCACCAGTGTTTTCTTAACTTTTTAATCAATATGGGGATGAAAATGCTAACGTCCTCCTATTATAAGAGCTAATATGAAAATTAGAAGCAGAGGAATATGACATCTTTTCCACATAACACTTTAAAGGAATACAATCTCCCTCTACTCATTTCATTTTGTTCCTCTGGAATAGAGTATATGACCATTTGAACAAAGTCTGGTTTACTGATTTACTGCAAGCATGAGTTACAGTAGTATTCAATTACAGAGTTTTTGGTCTTTATATCTGAAAACAGACACTGTTTAGACCAAGGCTAAATCTCAACTTCAATTTCTCCATTTTATCTCTCATGTGCTAGTAATGAAGATTCACATCATCACTATTAAAAGAAATATGGGACATAGAGCACACATACTTTTTGAAGTGCAGGAAGTTAGGTGAAGCGCTGGTAATTATTTAATTGCCAGCTGGTTAATCCATCTTCAGAAACTATTACTGGGATCCATTTTCATTTAATGTCAGAAACAGAAGGCGAATGCAGACAGTTCTGCTGTCATCACCCCCACAAAATGATACGTAACTACCTGGACTTGAACTGTGACCTTCAAAGCAATGCCTTAGAAATGTTTCTACATTATTATCCCATAATAGCTCTACGGAGGAAGTGGTCGTTAGTTTCAGGCATGCCTGCCATTATGGTCGAATAAGTTCTCAGGTGAATTATGTGCTATCATCAAGTTCTAGAGGCTGTCAAATTAAATGAAAGATTGTAATAGTAATTTATTTCCTAAATACACCTGTTGTCTTCAAGAATGTGAAACTTGAGATTCCACGAGAGGAACTGAATTCCTTAAGGAACTGCATCTCCAGGATGAATAACCAAGTGCTCAAAACACATCACAGGTGGCCTCAGTGATTAATGTTAATGTGTAAACAATGCACCTCAGCCTTCCTGCTAGGCTACATTCCTTAAAATGATAGCATATTAAAGCTACAGTAAAACAGCACTACAAATTTTCAAAGGGTCAGAGTTCACAGTAAAACACATTATCACCTAATTTCAATATTTCTTTATAATAACGAGTATGACTAATCCATGAGATTATAGTTTATATTGTAAACTGCAAGTTTGTAAATATTGTAAACTTAGAAACTGCATTTCATGGCACTTTACAGTTTGAAATTTTATCAATGAAGCAATAACCCAAAACGTCATTATGTTATCTGAATTGAAACACAAAAAATCACATCAAGCAGCAATATACTGTACTACAGGTTTCAACAGAAGCAATAACCATGACATTAATCTCTTGAATGCAATGACAAAAGTGTTATATATATATAGTATACCAAGGTTTACTCGGTAATGTATATTTGCAATAACAAAATTACAACTTAAAAAGTACACTCTAACAAGGTATGGTATATCAAGATAAGGCTGTTAATAAGAGTGTTTAAAAAATGGATAACTATTTTGTATTTAAAGGTGAACCTCCTTTATATATAGGTATTCTTTGAGATCAGTGGTGTGGAAGTTTTAAAAATATTCTGAAATCTATTATTTTTGACCAGGTATACCCTTAGTTGGATCAGTAATACTGATACTGTCACTGGTTGAGTGAGTTGACATGAAGGAAGAGAGCTTGGAACTGCTTTCTCTGAAACCATCAAGCTGATAAATATTATAATCAATAAAATTAAAATCAACAAAATGCAGTTAAAGCACTGGCATAGCACTCTCAACACCTAGTCCTGCAGTAATACTGAGCAATAAAACAAAAGGTCCCCTGTCTGAATATCTCCCACCTCAATCCTTGCAATGGATGGACTAATTCTGCGCTGCCAGCGAGGGCGCCAGACCAGTCAGAGAGTGGCATAGCCTGGTTCCAAGTCTCCCGACAAACCACAGGGGTCAAGCTGAACTAAGTGTGTACTCACCGGGTCCTAAAGAGCCTCCCATTGGAGTGAAAGACTGAAACACCAGGCCTCCGAACAGAAAAGAGCCATTAACTTCAGCCCAGATTAGCTCACCTGTAAAATCCTCGGGACACTCACAGGTGTATCCCCCCTCTCTGCTCCTACACGTCCCACTGTTGAAGCACGGCTCCGAGTAGCAGAGGTTAATCTCGGTCTCACAGTAATCCCCAGTGAATCCAGGCGGGCACCTGCAGCGGAGGCCATTGATGGGATGAATGGGACGGAACAGCACGGTGTTGGAGCTGATGAAGGGAGCGGAGCTGTCAAATTTGAGCACGGAGACGCATTTCATGTAATTCTCACAGGGCTCGCGCAGGCAAATGTTGTCATCGAACGGCAGCACCCGCTGCGTGGAGATCATGGTGAGGAGGGTCCTGTTGAGGTAGATCTGCTCCTGCAGGTCTTCGGAGGGGAAGTACTGGTTGCGCAGCCCCCCCGGGAGCAGAGCGGAGAAAGTGACGTTGAGGATGTTCCCGTGCACGTCGGTGTCATTCTGGATGTTGAAGACGAAGATGCCATCCCGGGTGGTGGAAAGGACAGCGGCCACCCCATCCACGAAGAGTGAGAGAAGAGGAGAGAGGAACTTCTCCTGGGACATGTTCTCCAGCCGCACTGTGATGCTGTTGGTCAGCATGTCATCAGTGATGATGGTGACCCGCAGCGTGCACACCGCAGTGATACGATGAATACCATCTGAAAAACACAGCAGCACCAGAGTGACCTCTGTGAACACGTTCTTAATACCTGCACATAAAGAATCTTTAAAAAACACTTAAAACACTTTGTGGCAATTCTGAGATCTATCAGATAGACATCTTCACATACTTATGTTATGGAACAAGATTTTTTCTTACTTAATTGCACAGAATACAAAATTTTAACAGATGCTATTAGATACTAGAAAAATGAAGCTTTGGGAAGTCATTGAAATTAGCATACATTTTGTACTGTTTACTAATTAAGTGTTCTATTTTGTTTTAAAATTCTGGCCATGTTTATCTCTCATTCTCTTTAGAGTTTCTTTCATAATTTTAAAACTAAAAGTTTGTCAAAAGTAATTGCATCATATTGAGTTATATTCATATTATACTCATTCAAATACTTTATTCAAATTTCTGATAAAAAATTAGAAAATGTTGCTCAAAATATTTTTTGAGAAAAATAGAAATACTGATTAAATACCAAACAACTTAACTAAAAATTGAGATTTTTTGTTAGTGTTAGCTTGTTTTCATGTAGATACACTTTCTCTATTTATTCCTTAGCAAAACTAGTTGAGGAGAGATGGAAATTCAGTTTCCTATAATCTGAAACACCTGCCATGCAGCAGTAATATATATATTCCCAAACAATAACCTTATATAAAACTGCTGGAAGCCACAAACCTAAACAGTCATTAATATTGGGCTGTCAAATCACACAACAGCACTGACTCTCACTGAAGCTGTCCTGACACTGTTAATAAATCACAATGAAAAGGCCAGTTCCTGAAATCTGACATCCTGAGCATTCACTGCCTAGTCAAATGCACACTGATAAAAGATCTCTTAAGGTCTGAACTGTTATTCCTATTGTCACTCCATTGTTAAAAAAGACTGTGGAACCTTCTATTTTGCTTGCACTGCTCTGACAGATTTGATATTATAAAAACAATGCGAGGCATAATTATGGTCCAAAAAAGAGAACTGGTATTTTCATTCATTTACAGTGTCTACTCATATACTGTCAAATGTACAATGCATAAAGCCTGCATAACACTGAAAAATAAGATTCATTTTTGTTTATTGTGGAAAAATCTAGAAAACAGTTTGAATTCACAAAAAGAATATCACACAAGTGAAAATATGAATTCTTGGTCTGAGGTTGTTTTTGAAAAAGGTAAAAAAAGAAACATTATGCAGCATGGTAGAAGGCTTGAATAGATTAAGATGTATTCTATGCATACACATATATTTATTAAAATTCAGGTTAAAAATGTATTTAGTACACAATAGTCTTGCTGTTGTAACATTCATTGAAATACAAATCTTCTTAATCTATTTTCTTTCTTGCATTTCTAAACACCAGAGTATAGGCAACATCTGTTTTACATGTCAGTTGCCCATCTTCCAGATGTCATATTAGTGAGATTTACACTCCAATGACTTTTCCCAAATGTACTTTTAAAAACTGACCACATCTAAAAGCACTGGCACTCTGCATAAGAAAACATTCTCATTAAAAAATGTCATTATCCATATTGCACATGCTGTCAACACTATAAAGAGCTAGGAAATAGTTATAAAGATATCAAGGCACACACAGTCCAAAACTGCAGATGGTGTAATGTAGATTTCATTTGTGCACATCTTGGGATAAAGATAAAGTGCAAACAATTGCAGACACTTGTTCAGAAAGACCAACTAACAAGGTTCAGGAGTCATTCAGGGAATTTCTCTATGAGCATTCCAGCAGCTACTATGTGTATGAGTGAATTTAGCTGCAGAGAATCCAACAATAGGATAATGCCTCAAGGAATACCTCAAGCTGTCAAACCTAGATAAAAACAGTAAAACAAATGAGGTTAAGGTTCACACTAATGAATGTTTTCACCTATGAACAAATTAGCAGACCAATGTATCTCTGAAGATGTATGAAGGACAGTCATTCTATTCTAGTGAGTGCTTCCTGCACAATCTCAAAAGATACTTTTCAAATCAAATAAGTAATGTTTGCGGTTCTATTCTGTAATAATTACGGCTTTTAAGGCCTTTGTAAATAGGGAAATATTAATACAGTATAAAGTATATTTTTGGAGCACAGTAACACCACTTTTTTGCTAAAATATGCACAAATGAACATAGATATTGGACACATTTAAATTTATCAAGATTTGGGTGTCATTTTAATTGATCACTCATATCATACTGTGACTACTGAATATCAAGCAACAAAAACACAGAAAGAAACCAATATCTCTCACTTATTAAGAAAGGGCCACTTTCATACCATCAATGTGTCAGAGATTGAACTTAATCAGCACAATGTCACTCGCTGTCTTGTTCTTTGCAAGAAGTTACAGAGCTACAGAGCCACAAAGGCCCATCGCTGATGGACTATCAAAAATGAAATCTGGAAGACCGCAAGGCATTACACTTTGCAGGGTTTCATTGTGAAATCCAAGTGCGATGGTGCTGCACGAGTGTCTAGAATCTGCGGCGTGGTGCAAAGCAGGTGTCAAAAGTACAGCTCTACTCAGCCCCTGCAGGGAATTGATCATGGCGGCTTGCAGGCCGAGAGCATACATAGAAACACTTCCAACACAGCTGCAAACTCCACTATGCCAAAAGACCAGGTCGTTTGCTGCAGTATAATTCTACACTCTATAGGTTTCAAGAAGATGACGTCACAAAATTTCAGTTATGGCACTACTGTGACAGCAACAGCTTTGCCGTAAAGAATGTGCAACACCATTTTCTAGACAGTGGTGAACTCCGCTATGCCTATAGACTAGTTCATTGCTGTGGAAGAATTTTACATTGTCTAGGTATCTAGAGAAGTAACACCAAATCTGGATTATATTCGGTGCAATGACCTCTGTTACACATGCATCACAGATGTACAGAGTGTCATAGCCAGAGTAATTCTAAGAGAAAACAAAACAAAAAAAATAAAACTTGGTATCTGTCAGTAGGGTGAAATGTATGTTTGCAAATATGGTGAAAATATCACTCCTTTTTCACTGATAACACAATGCCAATATCAATTATCAACTATATTAACTTCACATTATCAATGCATTAAATAGAGATAATATTGTTTTAATGTTTTGTTTGGACTGCATTTGGACCATGTTCCCATTACTCTATCAATCTTTAATTAGTAAGCTGAGAAGCAAGAAACAGCTGACAACCACTCACCAGGATACCTGCTTGCTGGTAAACTAGTGCGTATATTTGGACTCAAGAGGCATCAGGCTACAAAGGCTAAAGTTGTCTTTAAAACAGTTACAAATGTTCCATCAGCCTGTTTGTTTAGATATGTAAGCCTAAGAAAAATAAATTCCATTCCCTTTAAATTGCTCTGACCTCACAGCTGTTATGACCTGTGGCATGGGCTTCTCCTGACTCTGCTCAGCCATGGCTTGTGACAGCTGCCTGTTTCCATATAGCAGCCTGACAGGCTAACTCGCACACTGATGGGATCATCCCAGAACAGCAAGGAAAGAGGTCCCCATTGCAGTCGCAACATTCCTCTCTAACAACTCATCTCCCAGCTCACAAGCCTCCCTCCTGGGGGTCTCATTCATACTCATCTATCTCTTGTTTCTGGATGAAAACTGATAGCCATCCAGAGGAGATTACTAAGGAGTATTTCATTTGGAACAGTGGTGCATTGTTCAGAACAGTAGTTGAGGAGTATTTAAACCGGGGAACAGATCATTTCTGGTTGGAACAAAAAAAACCCTGGGCAACAGCAAGAACAAATTCAAAACAACTCATCCATTTGTAAACATTCATTACCTCTTAGATGAGGAAGCATAAGAAAAAAATCAAGAACTGCATTAGTCAGGAACTATGAGATCAAGGGAATAACTCAAACATCCTCATTAGGGATGAGGAACACAAATATATATTAAGGGTACCCACTTTTATAGAAATGGGGAGGACAGAAGATGGGCTACTCTGGGGTAATATTTTTAAAATAACCTTTGAGTTAGAGAATGTAAGCAAGAGGATATGGGCATTTTAGAATTGCTAATGTTTAAAATGGAAAATATTAATTCAAAGGACATATTAATAGGTGTATGGACCAACCAATGATGATGGGTACACAAAACATAATTTATGATGAGATCAAGCAGATATTTAGCAAAGGTGATGTTATATTGCTTATTTTCCACACAAAGTGGGATATAGTGATGGGGAACACAGGTGCTGAAATTGGTTAATGATTCCTTATTAAGCTTGTTAAAGCACTAATAGGCAAGATGACTTAATATTTTCCCACACAAGAACAATATAATAAAAGGAAATGATGTAATGGAACCACTAGGAAATTGTGTCCATAATATGTTATATTTTGACATATAATTTAAAACTCAAAAACATGAGAATCTAAAAGTAGCATTTACAGTTTTAGAAAAACAGATAAAGAATGAGGCAAATCTTAAAAGCAGTGAACTGGGAACATAGCATAAGGATGGTCATATTTAAAAAATAACATAAAAGACTCAAAACAGATTAACTCCTAAAGTTTTGAAGTCTAAATCTGGGAAAATATGGCCTAAATGGTTCAATGATGATATTAAGAAAAAAAAAAGAAAGGAAAAGAGCATTACCACAGACTATGTATATGGGTCCATTATTCAGAGATATTGCTTTTCCTGATCTGTATCAACAACCTAGATTCTGGTATAGTTAGCAAACTAGTCCAATTCATTTACTAGTCAAATAATACTAAAATAGGAGGAGTGGCAAACAGTAACAGCAGGAAAGCAGTTACAAAATATAAAATTATGGATTAAGCTGACACTTGGCAAATTAAATTCAACATGATCAGTGCACACGATCCACACTGGTGGTAGGGAAAAACACTACACTGTACATATTGTATGGGTGCTTCTTTATATTTATATATTTATATATCATATGGGTGCTTCTTTATATTACATAGCCAAAGGAAGTTAAACACGAAAGGGATCTGGGCATTTA